GGAGGCCATCGCTAGTAGGTTGGAGGCCATCGCTAGTAGGTTGGAGGTCATCGCTAGTGGGTTGGAGGCCATCGGTAGTGGGTTGGAGGCCATTGCTAGAAGGTTGGAGGCCATCGCTACTAGGTTGGAGGCCATCGCTACTAGGTTGGAGGCCATCGCTAGTAGGTTGGAGGCCATCGCTACTAGGTTGGAGGCCATCGCTAGTAGGTTGTAGTTGCAACTTGCAACTGGACAAATGTCACGACTCGGTGTGGCTCTGACCTCTGGTCCATTCACAATGATGCGACCATCCACCTGAAGCTGCCGAAACCGCGTGAGATTCCCATTCTGGCAGTATTCCTGGGCATCTAGGCATCATATCCATGATAGGTAGACTCTGACCCGAATGAGACGTGCTGAAACCACTGTGGCTTTCCTTCAAATAGAAAAAGCGGTGGTTCTTGTTCGCATGATTGAAACTTCAAACATTGATTATATAAGAATGATTAAGCCATTAAGCACTTGGATTGCTTCAAGACTGCGAGCGTCTCGAAAGTGCCAACATCGCACGTCAAGCGTCTCCAGCGCCACAATGCTACGCTCACGCGTTGCGTCGAAGGACGAGATTCCCCAGGATTCGCCACACTCTGTGACATCTTTCGCCACCCACTGAGATCGTTTTGGGAGACCGAGGAAAAGTCGTGTCCGGTATCTTCAGCTTCTGACCACCACGATGTCCGTATCTTCGCACTCCCAGGCGGTTTGGGCCTGCTCGGACTCGCAGGGAAGTTCCGAGTGAAAACGTTCGTTCTTTCGATGGGCAAAAGAAACGTGTGAAAGGAATCAACATGAGTCAACATGAATCAACCAAATATATTTGGCATCAGGGAAGTCTACCCTCCGCCATTCGTTGCCTCTTGCTTCGTGGAGCATTTCCAGAGACCGGCTCCATTACCGTGACCTGTCAGGCCCATCCTCAGTGAGGTGAAGATGAGGCGCCAAGATGTGAAACAGTGAGGTGAAGTCATCTGGTTCTCTCAGTTCTGGGTCTTTTCGTCTGTTTCTTTCTTCGTTGGCTCTGTTGGGCTCTGTTGGGTAGTAGATGAAAGGATAGCGCGTGTGTGATTCTGCCTCTTTGAGTTGCAAACGACACTGAATCAAACCAAACCTGCCCCCCCCACACTCTGACACTGGTTTTCAGTTAACGCAAGTCACGTTGGGAAGG